CGTTTTATTAATTCCAGATTTAAGTTTGTTAAAAGACGTTTAGATCCACGTTCAATGAGTACATCCTTTGTAACGTCATACAATTTTACAAATGTTTCAAGCATTTTCAGCATCCATCTGGTTTTACAATCCAGAGAGAGTTTTTGCTCTATCTGTAATTTTTCTCTACATTTAGACTTGAACAAATCTGAACGCACAACAGAATTTTTGAAAAAAATTACGACTTGTCTGACAATATTTATGTTTTCCTTGAATGATTCATTCTGTAATTCAGTTTCATTAATGCTCAAACCATTATCAACATCATCAAAATCATCAGTCTCTCCTGAACTTTCATCTATACTTTCTTCTGTCCCTGATTTTTCTTTATAAAAAGTTTTTGTAACAGCCAAATGCAAGGCATGTGCAAGACATTTTTGATAAAAAGCATGTGATTCTTCTCGAACTTGATCATAACACTTGCTCCATCCCCAGTAGTGGATACAATATCGAGCTTAAAATGATAGATGAAAAGATTCGAGGTGCTCTTCTACGAGTTCTTGCATTTTTTTTTATTGCATCACAACTTCCAAAAATTCTTTCCTGTCGAAGATTGATGCTGGCATAAGACGAAGATTGAATTTTGGCAGGCAATATGCAGATTTATATTCAGGAATCTCCGATTCATGGTCTATTCATCCATGGTAATGGAGAATTTCTTTGATTTGGCAATATCTTTTTTAATATCATTTTGATTTTTTGTTTCACAGTTTCCATATGGTTATGAACCATAGCCATTACAGATTTTTCATTGGCTGGAAGCTTCATACCCCTTAAGGCCAATGATTATCAAATAAACTCTGGCTGAGTTGACAAATTGATAAACCATCTACTGCAGCCATTTTTGCAACAATCTCTTATATTGATGTTTTGATTATGAAATTATCCAAAGTTTTTGTTTTTTTAGCTGTCGTTTCTGCCTCGGCTTTGTCAACGTCAATGTTATGAACGCTGCTTGGATGACGATGCATTGTTGATGTATTTTCATTTAAAATGGAAATTTTTTTATTGCATTCATTGCAGCATGTATAATTTTGGTCTGCCTTGGCAAAATGGCTCCAAACGGTTGTTTTTCGGCATGATTACTATTCTAGAAAAAAATAGAAAATACTATTCTAGAATATGCTGTATTCATGGCTGTAAGTCCAATAATATTAAACATTTTTACCAAAAAATATTGCTAAAATTTTGACTAAATTTGTGTTGAGATATTAGTAATCGCGTTCTTATTGGTTAAAAGGAAGTATAGCTTTCTGTCAGGTCCGAAGTATTCCGGAACTTAATCTCGTTCTCTTTGTTTATGATTGTTAAAACATGATCTGCTTGTATCTGTGTTTGTATTTCTGCTTGTGTCTCTGCATGTATTTCTCTGCGCATTACTACTCTGTAATAAATGTTTGTTTTGTGAAACATGGCATTTTCAATGTTCAACAATTTGTAATTTTGTTTTTTTTTTACTGATACTAAGAAAATCATTATTTAATATTACATACACGTTACTACTTAAAATTAAAAGTATATTGTTTCTATTGGTAAAGATTAAAAACCCTTGCATTTCTATGTACTGTAGACGGCAACAAATTCATCTCTTTACCAAAACAAGTTTCAACACTGTTCAGGTAAAAAAGTACTGGTAAAAGTATTATTTTACTGCATATATTTATAATCCTTTTATTGTTTAACTTTACTTATCCATAATACAATTACAAAAGTTTTAGTTTTTATGTACTTAAAAAGTAGCAGTTTTATGACACCAATAAAATGTCTTTTAGGATTCTTAAATATGTTGACAAATAAATTAAAAATAAAATGCAGAATGAAAAACATTTTGTATATACAGAGCTCGAAAGCCCATCGGGCTTTGATTCAAGTATCGAGTACTCGAAAATGACCAAAAATTATCAAGTATCAAGCTCGAGCCTAAGCTCGTTCCAAACTCTATCTGTCATGTTAGGGATTTGTATTTACTAGTTATTTTTTTCACTTTTATTAAAATATTTTCATTATTGGTTGTTTCATTTCAAAAAGCATATTTAAACAGTGGGGTTTTACTCTTCGTTTTTGGTGATTTATTCTGCTTGAGATTTCAGATCTCAAATTAGAATCATTAGAAAAAAAAGAAAAGCGAATATACCGGGTGGCCATAATTAAACTGACAGTGCTCACAGTGTTCTGTAGGCACGATCTATTTGCAAGAATGATGCCACATTTTGTACGAAGATTAAACAAGACGGGGGATGAAGGATTCCGCGAAAAAAAATTAGTTCCAAAAGTCACCGCTAGGGGAATATATGGCGCTGTGTAATAGAAAATAGAGTGTTTAACAAATGCAAATTAATACGGAATAAAATTTATCGTAGGTCCATTCTTCTATGAGAACATTACCCTAACAGGACCGGAAACCTGTTCTGTTACCGGAGAGAAATATCGCCACATGTTGAACAGCTTTGTCATTCCGGCACTTCAGCAAAGAGAATACCTTAGGGAAATCCTTTTCATGCAAGATGGAGTCCCTCCACACGTTGCTGTACGGGTGCAAGAGATGCTACAACAGAAATTCACAACCGAAAGAGTCATTAGCCGCTACTTTCCAACTGCATGGCCACCTCGGTCGCCTGATCGTACCCCATGCGACTTCTGGCTATGGGGTTACCTTAAGTCCAAGGTCTATGAAGGAGTGGTCCAGGACCTGGCTACGTTGAAGGATAACATATCACGGACTGTGCGGGAGATTCCTGCAGATATGTTACTTTCTGCTGTTGTGCATACTGTGCACAGAATGCAATATGTGGTCCACAACAATGGCAGCCACATTGAACCTCATTTGAATTCAAAGTAAAAGGTAATTTCCGTATTGATTTGCATTTGTTAACACTCTATTTTCTATTACACAGGACCAAATATTCCCCTAGCGGTGACTTTTGAAAGTAATTTTTTTTCCGTGGAATCCTTCGTCCTCTGTCTTGTTTAATCTTCCTACAAAATGTGGCATCATTCTCGCAAATAGATCACGCTACAGAACACCGTGAGCACTGTCAGTTTAATTATGGCCACCCGTTATATATGCTTTGTCCTCCCCCTTTTTTTTGTAGTATTATATTAAAAATGATATTAAGAAGTGACTGTGCAGATGTGGGCAAATGGATAAGCTAATAAATGTTTGAGTGAGGGGAGAGACAGTAATTTTATTATTATTGATTTTATTTGCTATCCTTATATAGGTGGTAAGTTAAATAAAATATTTATTCACTACAAATATATGTTTAATTATGATAAATTTTCATTTATAACCTTTACAAGCACAGTATGATAATCTTGTTCTTTTTTCATTTTGAGGTGAAATGCATTCTTCCATCTCAGAATTACTTAAGTGTTTCAATTTTTAAATTTCATTATTGCAGTTTTTGTAATTAAACTCATTTTCAAGCATTTTGATAGGTGAGAAAATGTTTTTTGATATCTTTATGCCTATGAGGTATTGATGTAATGATATTGACTTAAAAATGAAATGCATTTATAGTGCAGTGTTTTACTTTCCTGCACTGTAGCAGGAACTGTAATATTTTTCTATACACTTAAATAAACTACTTTTTGCATGTCATTATGAAAATTAATAATTTTTCCCCTTTTCTGATTATTTTGAATTTCTTTTTATTACACATGTAGTATATCATGTTATTTTTCTCAATTTATCTGTTTTTCTTGAATTTTGCTTGTGTTATCACCAGTATTACAGTTCTGGAGGAAATACAGCTAAGCTTTTAACAGGAGTATAGCTTTTGCAGGAGTATAGCAAAATATGTCGTGTATTTGTAGAGTTAATTCATGATCATTGTTATTTTACATTATTTATTATTATTATTTTATGTGTTACGCCTTGGAAAATGTAAACTGTTGTCATGCAAATTTTATTACATTTTAACTCTGAAAAATAAGTTACAATTATAATTAAGTTGCTAAGTTATAATTAAGTAATTACATTAAGTTGCTTAGTTACTTAGTTATTGTGTAGTTATACAATTCAGTTACTTGGTTATGACTGCAATGTGAAATTTATGCTTGATTTGGTTTTGAAAAATAAGCCACTCAGTAAAGTGCTTCAGCTATTTTATGTGTGAATTTGTAATACTTTTTTTTTAATAGCCATTCTAAAAAGTTTTTAATGTCTAAAATTAATTGAAATAAAAGAGTTTGTATATTTGTATGCAACTATTGAAAAAATTGTTTAATAGACGTTTGCAGTATAAAGTATAATATATGTATTTTACAGATTTATCTTTTTCATAATCCGTCTTGTCTTTATTTTCTCGACATCCTTTCAACACTGCAAAGGTGATTGATTATATTAAAGAGGAAAACAGCATTTAGTATGCTTTTTGTAAATCGGTCTCTAAATATGCTTTCATTTATTTTTCATTTTGTGGCTTTTTCTAAGTGTAGATCCAGGGTTCTCAACCAGTAGGAAATTTCATAGTTTCAGGGGATAATGCACTCAGCTTTTTATTTACATCTTAAATGTTTAGTTTTTGGATATAAAAATTACTTTCATTTTAATTTTGGTATTTTTCAACATTTTCTATCCTTTTTCTTGTGTATAAAATACATTAAAAATAAACCAAATTTAAATAAATGTTTATGTATTTTTTAGGCTTTGGAAAGGACAGGGGAAATGATCATCTAACAATGGTAGGGGTATATGGGGCAAAAATGGTTGAGAACCACTGGTTTAGATGTTATGTACTTTTTAGACTTGATGCTAAAGTATTATGTCTGTTGCTAAATGTATAAGGCACAATTTTAAAACTGCTTTTTATAAACGTTTAAAATCTTGAAGTATTTAAAATATACTTATATGCTGGTGACTAAAATACTCAAAAAAAGTTATATAAAGGTGCTGGTTTATTAAAATCTATGTGCATGCTTCTCAAGTATGTATCTGATGCATTTATTTTATTTCTTAGGTTTCATGAGTGTTGTGAAGATATCTACAAGCAAAGGCAGTTTCAAAAGGAAAGCATTTAAATGTTTTTATGGGGCTATAGTAGGGTAATCATATCAGTTCTACAAATATTTACTTATAAATGTCAGAAAAGACCATTTAATTCTTCAGCAAATCATAAAAATTTCATAAGAGCTAATCTCAAAACCCATTAAGAATTCACATAAGTGAATGCTCATTTCAGTGTTCTTGTTGTAAAGAATTTAGTCAGAAATGCCACCTGCAGCTGCATTTCCGACACAAAGTATTTGAATTTATCTTGTTTATCTTAAAAAGCTTTTGGTGTAGTAGTTTGAAAATGATAATGTATTTTGTTCTTTAATTATTCTTTAATTTGTAATTTCACAAACAATTCAGTAGTATAGTTTCCAAATTAAGCATGCATTATATTCTAAAATTTTAATCTTGTATATGAAATGTGTTTATTTTTTGTTTTGTAGTATTACATATTTAAATTCTTAAACAAACGTGTGAAACTTTAATTCTGTATCAGACTAATAGAAATAAAATGTTATACTGAAATTTGCTCTGCTATTTTTAAGTAGTATGTGATGTCTAATTTCTTAAAAGCAACATTAAAAATTTTGCCAGTGTAAGATATTTTCCAGTTACTATAACTGAAGTATATTTCTTTCCATGATATGTCATTGCAAAATACTCCGCTTTAAATCTTGTCTTAATTATGTTTTTCAAAAAACAAGGTTTTTATAAATCTTTCATTTAATACAGTTTTTACTCAGTTAATCAGATTCTTTAAGATGAATAAAGAGTAATAATTACATAAAAATTGTTTGAAATTGAGCTCCCCCCAGATCTATGCATGTAATGAAATATTATAATCTAACTGGCAATCCTCTAATTGGATTGACCTGTTATGCCTGTATAATACCTATTATAAGTTAATGGATATTTCAATTATAAATTATTAATTTGAAAAATAATGCACATTTTGATGACTCGTAGTAATACTAAAACATGTCATAAAAACTTTCTTTCCCAATAGATGTGGAATTTAAAATCTTAAATTATTCTTAAGCTTTTTCTTACATATACTGGTGAAACTGACCCCTTGAAACTGATGTCCCTGTGTCAGTAGCGAGATTACGAGACAGTTGTGTAGCTGTAGACGTCCTCTAGTGCTAGGCTAAAAGTACCAAATACCGATTGTCATTGGTCATTGTGGCTGTTGGGCAACCTTGTCCTGGTCTTCTAGACACTATCCTGCTGTTTTTAAACTGATTCCACAAATCAGAGATGACATTTGGTGCTACATCCAATTCTCTTGCAACCTGAGTTTGACACTGTCCTGCTTCCTCTCCACAATTCACCATTTCATATCTTCATCTAAGCGATGATGTGTACTCATTTCACCTAAAAAACAGCAGAAAAGAATAAGATTATTTCAGAAAAATGATAAAAATAACTTCTGTGTTGCAGAACATAATGAGCTGAGCAGCTGGATGCAGACTTTTATACCTCTTGCTGGTGTAATGATGCCCACAAGAATACGTAAACTCATCTCAGTAACACCAGCGCCACAGTGACATTATATAGCAACCAACTGTTTAGGCTTCTTCTGGCATTTTAGGAGAAATGCATGAAAATGTTTTCCATCTCTTAATGTTGTCCGACAGTGTAGAAAACTATTTATTTTTTCATTCCTCATACAGTGTGTGGTATTTAATTCATTGCTTCCCTCTACTTCCCCCCCAGAATCTATTTACATAAATCTTGCTGATGTTTATCTAGTATTCACAGTTATATAATAGTAAGAGGAAGGGGGGGAAATGTTCTGTAATGTTCAATTCCAAAATTTTTTAACCCCTTAACTGCCACGGGCGTATATATACGCCTTGCTCAGCCGATGCGTTAACTGCCCCAGGCGTATATATACGTCCTTCCAAACTGCTATCATTTGCTTTGCGCTGCTACACCTAAAATTATTCGCAAAGTTAACGCATCGGCTGCGCATCTGGGGCAGTTAACGCATCGGCTGAGCAATATACGCCCGCGGCAGTTAAGGGGTTAATAGCAAAAAATGATAGTATACCCATTTGCTGAGGAATAAAGAATCTGCTTTGGTGGCATAGCAGCCCTAGTGGGCCAATGCTTGCAGTGCCCCAAAATCTGCTTTCTTGATCGTGGGCCCCAGGGTGCGTAAGCATATGTCCTGAACAAGTGGACAGCTTGTCGCAGGACCCCCAGTATTTAGTCCCCAAGCGAACTTGGTACTCATTTTATCGACCCAAAGGATGGAAATCAAGGGATGAAAGGCTGATTCGACCTTGCCCAGACTGGGGATCAAACCCCAGACCTGTGGTGCTGCTGCGCGATGCACTAGCCACAGCGCCACCGGGCCCAAGAAGCAAACTACTAAACTAAATAATTTCTCTTCTTAAATCTGATTGTTAATTAGAAACATGTTTGTATTGTTGATAAACTCAAGGTTCGTACTGTCCTTAAAACTCCTTAAGTTTTTTTGAATCAATTTTTGGTCCTTAAAAGTCCTTAAATTTGGCCAAAATCGGCAGAAGGTCCTTAATTTTAATCATCTGAAATTTCTGTCTGTTTTTATGACTGCCATTTTGGGTGTGAATTAGCATTTTGCAGGAATATTTTTGGCGATTCACTCACAAATATGGCTATTTTTTGAATGGGTTCACGAGTTATAATTTGTTCCTATTTGTAATATGAATAATGGTGGGATACTCGAGTTTCTGAGCAAGAAGTGAAACATAAGCATTTCAGAATTATTTCATTTTTTGTAATGAAGAGCTCTCAAACAACTTTCCGCTTTTAGGGATGTGAATTCTTTTATTAAATGGTTCTAAACTTGGCGATTGTTAACATTTTGGCGATTTTAAGATTGGTTTCTATAGAAAATTTTTAATTCCAAGATGTGGGAATGTTTTGACAGTATTTTTAGAACATTCTAACATTGATAAATTTCATTAAAATAATGGTAATATATTGGAATTATATTTAAGAAGTAACATTAAAATAAAGCATTTTTATTTTTCGCTGTCATATTATAAAGTTCCATTTGGCAACTTATTATACAATTTTTTGAATCTGAAAAATAAACAAGGAATAATGGCTATAAAGCACGAATTTACGAACAGTTTTTAGCAAAAGCAAAATTAGCTATGCAATTAATTAAAAATGTCCTTTTTAATTTTTCATGGTAAGAATTTTTCCCATGTAATTGTCTCAGAAATTCTCAGAGAATATGCATCAGTTTTCTCTCGATAATATTAATTTCACACTTTTCCCTCAGATTTTTTTTCCGAAACATATTTCTGGAATTTTTGCTGTTACAGATTTGGTAGGGATAATTTTTCTTTAGGATTTATGACATTGAAGCTTGGAAAGTTTACAAAGATTTCAAGGCAAATTTATAGACCCACGATTCTGAAAGTTCCAGAAAAATGTCTCCATGATAGTAACACACAGTTTCTTACATTTTGGAGAACATCTGAAGAACAATGAAAACATAATAGTTGAATGTTTTACTTCTGATTCTAGAATCGCTTTCTTAAGATTTTTATCTTCCTTTTATTTTCTCTACTTTTCACTAGATACAAGCATGGAAAATATCAAAAGTACCTTTAATCTTATCATATGAACAGGCATTATAGAAAGGAATTTTTTTATTCACCTTTTAACTGTCATGCCAGAGATAGCACTGGTGTTCAAAAATGTCACGCCCGAGTATTTCTCGGGTAATTTTTTTTTTGAGTGCATCATATTGTTATACCCGAATATATATCGGGAGACGTTTATTTCGGCTTCATCTCTTTGTCTAACCCGACTGTATCTCGGGAAATGTTAATGTGCACTCAATTCAATAGATGACAGCACTTTACTGAATTCAAAGGTTAGAGGTTATAAGTTCTTTGGTTCAAAGTGCACAGGATCTTTTTGTTGTAAAATGGTGTCTTCTTCTTTGAAACGTTATATAGATTTAGATTCTTCAACCGAAGATGAAGGATGTGGGTTTGATGAGCAGTATTTATGATACTTCCATGGTCAGCCTCAAAAATAAAAAAAAAAATGAAGATACACTCAAGCCGAAGATTGTTTCTGACTACAGTCTAACTATGGGTGGTGTAGATCGCTGTGATTAGGAAATATCCTTTCATCCAACAATCCAAAAACGTCAGAAAAAATATTATAAAAAGATATTTTTACATTTACTAGACAAGGTACTTTGGAACTCATATTTGATCTATAAAAATGTAGTTGTGAAACGTATTACATTTTTAAAATTTCGAATCTAAGTTGTAGAAGAGCTTTTACTTAAATATGATGATGCAGCTTCTGGACAAAAGAATGTTGGCAGACCACCTACAATAGATAACCCTGCCTGTCTTACTGAACGAGATTTTATTTTCCATATTCCTCCTACTCCTGTGAAACGTGAGCCTACGAGACAGTGCAAAGTGTGTTGTTCGAAAAAGGATAAAAATGAGAAAAAGTTAAGGAAGGAAACACGATTCTGGTGTAGTGATTGTGGAGTTGGTTTGTGCTTGGAAAAGTGTTTCCAGTTGTACCACACAAGACTGAATTACTAAACTACTAATAGGTATTCACTTTTATTTATTTTTTCATTTATTTATTTTTTAGAAAATAATAATTTTTTTTTTTTTTTTCATTTTTAGAAAATAATGCTCCATTAGAAGCGAATTTTACAACTGCCATGTTGAGTGGCAGCCGCCTCAAGCAGTGGCTACAAAACTTTAAAAATTTTACGCATGTACTTCAAAATATCAATTTTTAACTACTTAAGTATATTTTATTTAGTACTAAACATTTGATTTTTCGAATAAAAAAATTTGTGTGAATTTGTGTGCCCGAATCATCAAAATAACTTGACAGTTAAAAGGTTAATAAAGAAATTGAAAACTGACAATTCAAAAGATTCATCCAATATGTCTTAATGCATCATACATAGAGCTGGCGCTAGGCATTTTGCCACCTGTTGCAGTCTCTGTGGATCCTAAATTCTGATGCCTGGTGCCTTTCTAAATTCTGCTTTCAATGCCTGCTCTAAATTCTAAAAGTTTTGCTGTTTCTAGATTTTTTTTGCTCGGTGTGTCCTTAAATTCTAAAAATTATGCCACACCAGCTCTGTTACCAGACCTTACCATATGTATTTCATATTTCTTCTGAATGTTTATATTATTAAAGAAATAAAATTCACAGCTTTTTCCATACATTCTAAATGCATTTAGTCTTTTAGAATAACAGAAGTCTAATTAAATCTAAAAAATTTAAAGTGAAAAGGAAACGTGTTGAAAAAAGAAACTAAATATGTAAAGAGAAAGAAAATTATTCTTCAAAGATATGTACAGTTATTATTATGTAAATTACCCAGTTGTTTACAATTTCAGCCTTTACTATAATTTCCCATTTCTATTTGCTCATCACAATGCAAATCACTTAGATAGTTTTTAAACTGAGTTTTTTGGAGTTTAAGACGAGTGTTTCTGAACTCCACTTGCTCCCTGCATTAGTTCCTG